TCCAATATTATCATGCCTTAATCCCATCCTCCTGGAGCTGCAGTGGAGAAGTCTTTATTATGTAAAAGGGCCTTCTTAATGGCCCATAAACAGTGGGGATGGGCAGGAAGCTACAGGCAACTATTCTGTCTTTTAAAACATGTTTCTTTCTTTTCATATCCAGAGAAATATTCTGCCTTTTCAATATTTCCTATGATATTTCATTTTTCTGGGAGAGGGCTGGGTGATAACTTCCCACACAACAACAAAGGTAAATAGGTCGGTCGGTAGGTCGGTAGGTAGATAGGAAGGAAGGAAGGGCCTTGAAATAAAGAGAAATTATCAACTCTTTTCAACTGGTCAGTTGCTGTAAACATTATCAGATGTCAGATACCCTGTAAGAAATGAAACACTATTCCTTGTCAATTATGATTAACTTCTTGGGAATATTTATGGTTTTGGGTGTTCATAAAACAGATGAATAGTGAAGTGTAATTAGCAGAAAACTTGTCAATTGCTCCAGGGTTGTGTTGACCCTGGAATTTCTCAGTGTCCCCCAATGCACAAGGCTCTCTTTTGAACTGGGACACCGACCCGCCCTTTCCGTGGGAATAAAAGGAACACGTTTGTCCATTTATTATGATTAGCCAGGATTTGCTTAATAGAGTTGGTAATCAATACCGAAGGCAGATGGACTGGGATAGCAAAACGCAGAAGCCTCAACCAATTAGCTGCGTTCACCCAGTTAGTCCAAGCAAAACCGAGCTGACCCCTTTCGGGTAAAGAACCCCATCAGGTGTGAACGCAGCCGGCAAACAGCGGAGAAAAGTGCAAGAAGAACCAGCCAGAAAGCCTTGGTGGATTGCTTTGGGAGGCGAAATTCGGCTGGGAAGCCGCTGGCCCTTTAAGGAGAGAGGGCGGTGGGTGGCTGTTTTTTCCCTCTTCTCTCTCGGGGCCGCGGTGCCGCCTTCCTCGCTCCAGAAGCCCCGGACTGGGAGGTTCTGCGCCGGGTCACCACCTCCGGCTGCCATGCGGTGGCTAGGCCAGCCTTGCGCCCTGGCTCCGTTTTTGCCCAGGGGAGCTTTCCAGGTCATCGGCGGGCGCCTTGCTTTGGACCAAGCAGCTGGCACGGCCGGCAGCCTCCGATCGGGGCTACTTGGGGCCGGCGGCGCTGCGCCGGGGTTCCTGCCGGGCCAGGCACAGCTCAGCTGGGCGGTCGAGAGTCCGGTTCCCAGCCGAGGGCACCAGCAAAGCGGTCTCCGGCTCTTGCGTCGCCTCTTGCGGGAATCGGGACTGCTGCTGGTGGTGCAACCCGCTCGCTTTGCGCTCCCGGCGGCGGCCGGTGGAACCGAGGCGCTGCGTCGCCACCTGGAAACGCCGGCGGGGGATCCCAACCGGCTGCACCCCGAGAGAACCTGGCATGCAGCGAAGGGCGACTTCTTTGCCGGCGGGCAGGAGAGCCGCGGCGGGGGATCCCGCGGCAACCTCGCACCTCCCCAAGTGGGTGAATGACGGGCCGCGCGTGTGCGTGGGAATGCGCGCTTGCATTGGCATAAAGGGGTCCCGGTGGGGGCTTTAGGGCTGGAGATCAGGGTGACCCACGAGGCTGCCTTCGCCCGGTACGAGTGAAGCGGCCACGACCAGAGAGCGGTACCTACGTGGCCTGTGTAGTTCGGGGATCGGGGTTATCTATCCCTCGAGAACTTGGGCTGGCTTAATGCGGAAGTGTCGACAATTGCTTTGCGTCCTTGTGAGTTCAGTCACAATAATAATAATAAGGGCCTATTAAAGAAACAAGAACACACAATTTATTTCCCTCCATTGAACATTGCCCGGAAGGTGAAACAGGAAGATTTTTTCTGAGCACCTTCAGAAAATAGTGGAGAGCAGGTTTCTAAACAACTTTTTTTCAATGTTTATGTATTTATTTGTTTTTATTTAGTTAGTTTGTCACTCATGTACAAGATAACATGAATGGGTACACAGGAAATGGGGAGAAATAAATGGGGACAGTAGGGCTGATGCGCTTATGCACATCATTTGCACACATGTAAAAGGTGCTTTAGCACTTAACCCCCCTTCTCTTTAATAATATTTTAGCAGGGTTGAACTGGAAAATTCTGTTGTATCTCCCTGGTCTGCTCACTTATCCTTTGGGAGAGGTTTGTCTTGTGTGCATGCTATAGATAAAAGGGTGAGACTGGGGGGGGGGGGCAGTTGTCACTTATCTGCCTTGAACTCACGGTTTACACCAGTTTTCTATTATCTGGTGCCTGCTAGAAAGAGATAGAATTGCAATTCCATCATTATTTTTTGTATTTCGGTTTATAGGCCACAATTATCAGTGTGGGGCAAGGTTGTCAAAAGTGCTGCACTGTTAAGACTTTTGTGTTTGTTTTTCACAGTCATCTTACAATATCTAATGTTCCAGAAAGAACAACAAATTCCTTCTGTCTTACTTTACGCACAGCATGTTTAAGCAATCGCAACATGTTTAAGCAATCGGATAAAGACTTTGAAGAGTAATTTGAAGTAACATGATAAGCTAGTTGGACGGTAACTTTGATTTGCATTTTTGGAAACATGCTGTACATACCAATCAACCCACTGAATTTACGATTCATTGGATTGCGTAAACACAGATGATAGAGTAATTCAGAAACCAGGTTGCATCCCACAGGTTAAGAATACTGTGGGATGCAACCACTGTTTGATTTTTTTTTAAAGCACTTGCTTTTCTGTTGAAATGATATCCAAGGTGATTTACAATAGACAATAAAGCAATCTAGCATCACAAAAATAATAAAGCAGCACCAAAGCTTGGAGGAAAATGGTTTTATACAGATAGGCTTTTATAGCTAATGCTGAAATCTAAATGGCCTTTCTGAGCACTATTTGTTATGAAAAGGTCAGATTCAATTTAATTAATTGAAATTCCTTTGTGCATAAGGGGCAGTGGAAGAAACAGGGCTGGTATTTACCTGTTGGAAATGTCCAGCGATTAGTTTAATAAAGTTGGTCAGAGATCTATTTTAAATGAGGGAGGTTTTTTTTTTAAAGCTGTTTGGTTTCTCTTGTAATGTTGGCTGTAAGTGTGAACTTATAGAAAGGAACTTTCTTCACTGAGCCTTTTTGGGACAAGGTTACCCTCAGCACCATTTTCTTATCCTTTCAGCTCTAGAAACCACCTCTTGAACCCGAGATCTTGTGTATCCCAACAGAGAGGCAGTACAGTATGCTGTAGTAGCTCAGGCCTAGGATGGCAGAGACGCAGTTCAAAACAATTCTCAGCCATTGAAGCGCACGGAGCCCAGTCACTGGTTAAATTGGAGGAGAAATTGCTGTGCAATTCCTTAAGTTTTGGCTCTATAACAGTGGTGGCAAACCTTTTGGCCTGACGTTATCAAAAATTCAGAAAGTGTCCTAACTTGACTCTGCTAGAATGACACATGCACATACACAACCTAAACAAGAGAGAAACAATCATCTACTCACACACCCCATCTAAGCCACCCTGAACAGACGGAGGCACTGAGGCTGGGCCTGTAGTAGAGGCCCAAAACTCGACCTCGGCTCTACACCACCACTGCTCTTCAAAATGGCCGCCTCACGGCATTCCCCAAGGGCAGGCATGCTAGTCTTGGGGAATGGGGTGATTGCCCTTGCAATTCGGCACTCCCCAAGATCTGCCGCACACTGCTTACCTTCAAATAATGTTATCTCTGTTGACAGGCCCCTGCAGCCTACTTGAGGCTGCTCTGGGTCGCACAAGGTCTTGGGAGAATACTCTCCCATGGCCTCTGTAGCCTCCAAAAACCATACGAAAGCATGCCCCGTTCTTGTGCAACTTCCAGAAGCCACAGGAGAGCATGTCCATTTTCATGCGGCCTCTAGAGACTCTGAAAATTGTGCAAGAATAATGTCTATGGAGATTCTCAGCCATCCAGATCATGGTTGTCCCAAAGGTGCTTTTTCATTTCCCACTATCCAGCCAGATTCTCCAGAGCTGGAGAAGCTTCATGGATGAGAAGCAAAACATCTTCAAAGAAAAAACAGAAAGTCTTGAAAAAGCACCCTTGGGACAGATGTACACGAACAAGGCAGATTTTCTGGAATAATTGTTGGGTATTGATAAACACTGGCTTGTTATCCAAAATGTCATATATAGGTTCGCCATCACTGCTGTAGAAAATCTAGATATTCTCTGCCGCTGAATTAGAAACTCTTCCCCAAAGCACAGAGCTGCTTTGTGGCTAGCAATGTCACAGGCTCTTTGCCTTGCTCTGACCTTTCCTGTTCTGGACTTGTGTTAGGGAAGTGACTGGTTTAAGAACAAGGACCTTCAAATACCTAAAGGATGGTCTTGTCTGAAGAATCCTCAGGATCTAATCTGGAAGCAAATAGTGGGGAAAAAAGGTTGCTCCAAAGCTGTTACAATGAGTAATATGTACTTTTGAAAAACATTCACCTCAAAGTAGCAAGCATATCTCCAGCTGGACAATTGTCTTTCCACTGTCTGATAATAATGCAGAAAATTG